TTATTTTGCATACCATACATATAGCCCAGTGATAGAACATTCGACCCACAACTCATTTTTTTTAATCAATCATATCCCGTATCGTTTTTCTGTGATTATTCACTTGGGAAGTGATCCCCCAGACGCCTGTGAGGAGCAAGACTGCACAACTTGCCTGCCGCTGTCCACTTCGCGATCAATATATATACCTGGGATGCAGCAGATTGTTGTGAGTTACATCCTAGGGAAGGACTTAAGGATCCTCAACGGAAATAAGCCACGCTGTTTCCTTTGCAAATTATACAGCACTTGTCTTTCATATCCATACATCAGAGTCAAAACAAATCATACACGGAATAATATTATACTGACGGTGTAGAGCTAAATTCGTATGGATTATGCAGGTGGGGGTAGAGTAAGCAATCAGGATTAATCAGTTAATTCAAGGAAAGGCAGCAACCAGTGGCCCTCAGTAGAGTTCTTCTTGAATACGGCTTTTGCTGCTCTAGCGTTATCCATTTTGAGTGCAAGTGAAACCCAGTACAAGTTGTTACTGTAGGATCACCAGAGTGAAAAAAATACTTGTACGGACAAAAAAAAAAACACACAAGTAGACAGAAATACTGATGATTATTATTATAATAAAAAAGAAGCGCTAAGCCACAAGGGCTATACAACATACACTGATGAGAGATGTGTTGGAGGTGGAAACAGTTTATGTCAGCCTTGGAGTTTGACCAGGTCTTGCTGGTGGCGATGTTTCATGTATATTGTGCTCTAATAATTTCCTACAAGAATGTGTATTTTTGTGTACTAGATGATCTGCTGGAACGTGTATTGTGTGCCCTTCTGTATGTAACGTGTATTGTGTGCCCTTCTGTATGTAACGTGTATTGTGTGTACTTCTGTATGTAACGTGTATTGTGTGCCCTTCTGTATGTAACGTGTATTGTGTTTACTTCTGTATGTAACGTGTATTGTGTGTACTTCTGTATGTAACGTGTATTGTGTGCCCTTCTGTATGTAACGTGTATTGTGTTTACTTCTGTATGTAACGTGTATTGTGTGTACTTCTGTATGTAACGTGTATTGTGTGCACTTCTGTATGTAACGTGTATTGTGTGTACTTCTGTATGTAACGTGTATTGTGTGTTCTTCTGTATATAACGTGTATTGTGTGCCCTTCTGTATGTAACGTGTATTGTGTGCCCTTCTGTATGTAACGTGTATTGTGTGCCCTTCTGTATGTAACGTGTATTGTGTGCACTTCTGTATGTAACGTGTATTGTGTGCACTTCTGTATGTAACGTGTATTGTGTGCCCTTCTGTATGTAACGTGTATTGTGTGCCCTTCTGTATGTAACGTGTATTGTGTGCACTTCTGTATGTAACGTGTATTGTGTGCACTTCTGTATGTAACGTGTATTGTGTGCCCTTCTGTATGTAACGTGTATTGTGTGCCCTTCTGTATGTAACGTGTATTGTGTGTACTTCTGTATGTAACGTGTATTGTGTGCCCTTCTGTATGTAACGTGTATTGTGCGCACTTCTGTATGTAACGTGTATTGTGTGTACTTCTGTATGTAACGTGTATTGTGTGCCCTTCTGTATGTAACGTGTATTGTGTGTACTTCTGTATGTAACGTGTATTGTCTGTACTTCTGTATGTAACGTGTATTGTGTGTACTTCTGTATGTAACGTGTATTGTGTGTACTTCTGTATGTAACGTGTATTGTGTGTTCTTCTGTATATAACGTGTATTGTGTGCCCTTCTGTATGTAACGTGTATTGTGTGCCCTTCTGTATGTAACGTGTATTGTGTGCACTTCTGTATGTAACGTGTGTTGTGTGCCCTTCTGTATGTAACGTGTATTGTGTGCACTTCTGTATGTAACGTGTATTTTGTGCCCTTCTGTATGTAACGTGTATTGTGTGTACTTCTGTATGTAACGTGTATTGTGTGTTCTTCTGTATATAACGTGTATTGTGTGCCCTTCTGTATGTAACGTGTATTGTGTGCCCTTCTGTATGTAACGTGTATTGTGTGCACTTCTGTATGTAACGTGTATTGTGTGCACTTCTGTATGTAACGTGTATTGTGTGCCCTTCTGTATGTAACGTGTATTGTGTGCCCTTCTGTATGTAACGTGTATTGTGTGCACTTCTGTATGTAACGTGTATTGTGTGCACTTCTGTATGTAACGTGTATTGTGTGCCCTTCTGTATGTAACGTGTATTGTGTGCCCTTCTGTATGTAACGTGTATTGTGTGCACTTCTGTATGTAACGTGTATTGTGTGCACTTCTGTATGTAACGTGTATTGTGTGCCCTTCTGTATGTAACGTGTATTGTGTGCCCTTCTGTATGTAACGTGTATTGTGTGTACTTCTGTATGTAACGTGTATTGTGTGCCCTTCTGTATGTAACGTGTATTGTGCGCACTTCTGTATGTAACGTGTATTGTGTGTACTTCTGTATGTAACGTGTATTGTGTGCCCTTCTGTATGTAACGTGTATTGTGTGCCCTTCTGTATGTAACGTGTATTGTGTGTACTTCTGTATGTAACGTGTATTGTGTGTACTTCTGTATGTAACGTGTATTGTGTGTACTTCTGTATGTAACGTGTATTGTGTGCCCTTCTGTATGTAACGTGTATTGTCTGTACTTCTGTATGTAACGTGTATTGTGTGTACTTCTGTATGTAACGTGTATTGTGTGTACTTCTGTATGTAACGTGTATTGTGTGTACTTCTGTATGTAACGTGTATTGTGTGTACTTCTGTATGTAACGTGTATTGTGTGTACTTCTGTATGTAACGTGTATTGTGTGTACTTCTGTATGTAACGTGTATTGTGTGCCCTTCTGTATGTAAAGTGTATTGTGTGTACTTCTGTATGTAACGTGTATTGTGTGCCCTTCTGTATGTAACGTGTATTGTGTGTACTTCTGTATGTAACGTGTATTGTGTGTACTTCTGTATGTAACGTGTATTGTGTGCCCTTCTGTATGTAACGTGTATTGTGTGTACTTCTGTATGTAACGTGTATTATGTGTACTTCTGTATATAACGTGTATTGTGTGCCCTTCTGTATGTAACGTGTATTGTGTGTACTTCTGTATGTAACGTGTATTGTGTGTACTTCTGTATGTAACGTGTATTGTGTGTACTTCTGTATATAACGTGTATCGTGTGTCCTTCTGTATGTAACGTGTATTGTGTGCCCTTCTGTATGTAACGTGTATTGTGTGTACTTCTGTATATAACGTGTATTGTGTGCCCTTCTGTATGTAACGTGTATTGTGTGTACTTCTGTATGTAACGTGTATTGTGTGTACTTCTGTATGTAACGTGTATTGTGTGTACTTCTGTATGTAACGTGTATTGTGTGTACTTCTGTATGTAACGTGTATTGTGTGTACTTCTGTATGTAACGTGTATTGTGTGTACTTCTGTATGTTGGTTTTGCCATCACTTAACTTTTTGTTTTCTTCCCTCGTCCTACAACACGTACTTTAATGTTTACAGTCGTCTGCTTTAATGTTTGGTTTTCTTTCTGTCTTTGGAGGATAACCATTTTGTCACATTGGACAAAACACAATTATTATTATTGTTCCTACATTCATGAAGGAGGGGCACGCCAAACCTGTAGGAGGGGGCATTCAGCACCTATAGGAATGGAAGGCAAATCAGGTTCGCTCCAAGGAAGGGGAGGCAGAGTCCAATTCCTTGGGTCAAGTGTCCCTCGCTGGGGTGAAGGTACCTTTTTTAAGCTAAAATATGTAAATTATCTCACTTTTAATGGAAACTGCTGCGCCATTTTCATTTTATTAGAAAAACGAAGTTATATTTTTTTTAAGTAGCATATTATGCAAAACTCGGGGACAAGCGACACAAGATGCAAAACAACTACGGGGGGAGTTGAATGATAGCGCTAGGCCTTTCGAGTTGCAATCGACACATCATCAGGAGCTTGCAAAGATGCAGAAATGATTAAGTAATCTTAGCAAATTCGTTCCGAGAGAAGCTCGCTAAGACTCAAGTCTTAGCAAGGCGTCCCTCGGGACGAATTTGCTAAGATTACTAACTTATATCTGTATCTTTGCAAGCTCCTCGTGATAAAGTTATGCTAGCCAAGATTATTATTATTATAATCAAGGGGAGCGCTAAACCCATAGGATTATATAGCGCACGTGGGGGGGGGGGGATGGAAGGTATTCAGGCTCAATTCAGAAAGATCCAATTCCATAGATCAAGAGCCCCTCACCAGCGTCAAGAAGAGCACCCTGAAGGAGAATGTAGAATATAACTTTGGTATATCTGTGTCTAGCACTAGGAATAATATTGGGAGAGAAGCAAATAATGAAAGTGATTGTTATAGGAATGCAATTAGAAGTCTGAGTAGATCTATAACCCACTATGATAACATGAACGTAGATAAGTATGTTTATGGAACAACTTGCAATGTGAATAGACTGACTGATGTAGTGGCCAGGCTTAGGCTTGGTTACAAGTACTTCTGCCAGTTTGGGAGACACACAGATGATGATCAAACTAAATGCAAATTGAACACTATGTGCTTAATTGTCCACTTATTGAGGAATACAGAGATAGACAGTATAATAACCTGTGTGACATGTCAAGATATCTTATTAATTAAAATAAGATACCAGATATACTAAGCAAATTTCCTAAATTTGCTTGTAACAGATAAGTGAACTGTAGATATGTAGATACAAATCCAAATGTACAATGGAACCTTTTGAAACCTAGTTCCTAGGCCTTTTGTGTATCCATATGATCTTGCTCTACCGTCCACAGGATGGATGAGGTGCACAATAAACTAGCCACTTCGGTGGAAAAATCTAATCTGATGATGTGTTGATTGCAACACTAAAGGCCTAGTTATCATTCACCTCCCCTGTGATTGTTTTACAAAGTAGTATATTTTCATATTTTAGCTGAAATTTGAGAGGTTTGTCAGACAATGGTACCTCCCTTGAAGGGGACAGAAACATAATTTTATGTAGAAAAAAATTTATTACAATAAATATACATCCAAATTGGCGAACTTCCAAGGACTTGAAATTTCGGGCTATCACAGGAATCACGAGTTGATTCATAGCGGGGTTCCCCTGGGTGGATCCTTACCCCTGGCGCCCACTCACAACAACAAGAATCTTCCTTACAAGTGTATATCACTGGTATTATATACCGACAAGTATGCTAATAAGACACAGTATGCGGGTTATTCCACCTTACTGAGAAGACTCGCGAAATCGCAGTGGCGCGGTTGCAAACAAATCACATTGTACAGGAATAATATAACCAAGTGGGATGAATCTTATTAGAGTCAACTGGCCCAGTGGTTAACGCACAGGCCTGTAAGTTTTAAGGCTCACTTGCCGACTGATGAAACCCCAGTCGGGACTTCATCAGTCGGCGAGAGCAGACAGTCCCTGGACGGTGGAGGATGCGACCTCTCAATAAAAATGACACAAACTGTATATTATGTATTATTAACATACTTGACTTACAAGATCAAATCCTATGAGTGACCGCAAACCACTGATTACGTGTGGTTGCTGAGCCTAACTGGTCACATTACAACGTTCACGGGAAAGCGCTAAACCCGTAAGGGTCATACAGCGCCTGCGGAGTGGGAAGTAGCCAGGACTGAACCAAGGAAGAGGAGGGGTAACTCCAGTTCTTCTGGATCAGGAGCCGTTCACCGTGTGGCGATTATAGTGGACGGAGCCTCCACTACATGCACTGAATGACTTCCCCCTCCCCTCTCCCCACTGCTTTACCACTCCATAAAATCCAGTACACTATACAAAAATTTATTTCAAGAAGCCATATGTTTGAGCGTCGTTCCCTGCATGAAGGAGGCTGATCCGCCAAGTGCGCCCCTGGGTATCACTGCCACACAGTCCCAGCCCCCAGCACCTCTCCCTTGCCTCTAACCTACGTCTTAGTTACTGCTTGGGCCCGGCCACAGCAATGAACCTCATGGCTTAATACAAAATGCCCCTAACTGGACCCACATATTCTTTTTTTTTGTACACGTTTCGTTATCAAATATAGTCTAATTTTTTTTAGTTACCACACAATATCACATTTTAACGATGCTAAGTCTTACTAATGCGTGAATCTCTCACAACAACGCTGGCACACATAGCTGGTGAGCAGCGAAGAGCAGCCTGACACTTCTGGCCGTGCTGGCCTGATGTAGGACTTGCAGATGACAGTAATGTACCCATGTAAAGTCTGAATCTTCCCTCGCTGCCCACACAAACATACATACAACAACATAGTCTAGTGTCTCTACCTTACCACGCTTACACACAGCAGATTACATACAAAGGTTTTAGGAGTAGGCAGAATACCACCCATCAGGCCAGACATTTAATGTTTATTCACATGGGGCAAGGAGCAGAAACTCAACCCCCACAACCCCAAGCAGGCGAGTACACAAGTGAAGTTACTCCTCCCTCCCTCCCTCCTCTCTCTCACCCCCTACACACACCTGCTAGCTAGCTTGCCTATGTTCCACTATGTATCTATTATATAAAGTAAGATAGCAACACACTGCAGATGTAATCCATTTTGCTTTAATAACTATTCAGTGAAATAAAACATGACACAAAATACAGGGGGCGACAGTCCCCACATATATTAGGAGAAATAGCTCACATTCAGTGATATAACCTCAACCCATATATACACAACACAGAGTGAAGTATTTCTCACCACACCATCGCCACGCAACATGCAATATTTACAAAGGTGGCAGCCCAGGTAGGGCTCATGACATTACTCTGGGCGGTGAGAGGAGAGATGCAGATAAAAGCAATAAAGTATTATGCACGTGAAGAAGAGCACAAGAGAAACTGCACCAATAACAACACTCTGGCATCCTTGAACTCTGCATGTCTCAAAGCCTGAGCTTCGGGATTACCCTTGTCCTATCTCCAGTTTCTGGTGGCTGATTAAATCTGACCCCAGGATCGCCTTACACAACGCCGAGACTCTCATTAAACTCATTTTTTGTGTGATGGGGAAGGAAGGGTGGGCAGAGTAACGCCTAGCACTCATGCGAGCAGGTACTGGGCATGCTCTTAGTCTCTGGGTGATGATGATAGTCTGGGTGATGACGGGTTTTATTTGTTCATTCTCGTAGCCAGGGTGAGTATGTACACGATTTAGTTACTTCCTTAATATGAATTTACAAAAAAATCATAACATTCGAGGGATGGGGGAAAAATATTCCAAGCGCTGTGTCCTACAAGCGACCAAAAGCTTGGAAACTAACACTTTGAAAGTACAGTCGAACGTAGAAATGGGCACAATTCTTATTAACAAAAGTTGTCCAGTCACTGATCACAATAAAGTGAAAAAAAAAAAAAACACTTATGCACAAGGAGAAACAGTGGGGTTAGAGCGGTTACAAGCACTTTGCGATTTTTAGCACCAACTCCAAACATCTACATTATTCTTCAGTGGTTTGTCTTTATTTTGCCTCTGGTTCAGTATGGCGCCTAGTTCACATCGTCACATGAGAACAAAATTATAATAGGAATTTATGCTGTCACATTGTTCAAGACACTTGTTTACTTAGGAGTCAAGATCTCACCTAAAATGGCAGACTTTTCAATATTATCTGTTTTCACCTCCGGCAGGCAACGCGGGAGAACGGGTGGGAGTGGGTGGGTGTTCAGCTTTCCCCCAAGGGAGGCGCACCTGTTGTGACCACGGGTGGGCCGAGTAGTGTTAGGCGCTCAGGTTACCAAGCCCTGCCAGTGGGTTACCCACCCCCTCCCCACCTTCTATCTTCCCTTTCCTCTCCGGAGCACGGCGCAGGAACCTTAGAACTCCTGTCCCACCCCTCCTCCTCCTCCAGGATAGCATCATCCGGACTGGTGGTGGGAGGAAAGGTAGGTTTGTAGGGTACTCGAGGGCGTTTCTTGTAGTCCAATGTCAGACTTGGAATCTGCCCTCCGTATAGTTGATGTTTCGTGGGTAGATGTATAACCACGGATATGCTGGTGGTGATGTTTCGTGTATATTGTGGCCTGTGCATTTTCTATACTCGATGTTACACTGCAACGTTTATTGTGTATACATCTGTAAGTTCGCCTTACACTACTGTTTAGTGTAGATGCTACACAAGATGTGGCTATTATTTTCATTTTTCAAAAACTCTTTTTGAAAGTTTTCAGAGTAGCGTCTGCTTCGTTGGTACTGGCACCACCTGCTGAAAAAAAAAGGTTAAAATCAGTGCCTGATTAAATTCTTTTTTTTTTTTGATAACAAGACAGTTTGTATTAACACTAATAATAATAATTATTGAAGATAACGAGATCGCCTAAAATTTAAGTATCTGAACAGGAGTCAAACCCTTAGAATACGTTCACTTTTAATTGCTAAATTATGAATTAGTTCAATTTTTCCTCGAAAAAATAACTAACGCAGTGTAAAGGGCGAAACTAGTGTGTGTGTGTGTGTGTGTGTGTGTGTGTGTGTGTGTGTGTGTGTGTGTGTGTGTGTGTGTGTGTGTGTGTGTGTGTGTGTGTGTCTGAGATGGTAGAGGATAAAATCGTAAAACAGCTCAGGAAGGAAATCTGTAAATTTATCATTAAATTACTTTTTTTTCTCTCTCTCTAGAGAAGACGAGGATTCCTAATTAGCACAACAGTGGTACTTCCCTCTTACATATGTATATAATACACACACACACACACACACACACACACACACACACACACACATGCCGATTGATTAAGAAGACGCACATGTAGACGGAAACAGTGAGAAAAAGGTTATTTCGAGGTCCGTCTGAGATCTTAGCAGTGACGGTTATCTTAGTGACGTTAATCTCAATGACGTTAATGTCAGACGCTAATGTCGGTGATGTTTACTCGGTGATGTTTACCTCGGTGATGTTTACCTCGGTGATGTTTATCTCAGAGATGTTTATCTCGGTGATGTTTACCTCGGTGATGTTTATCTCAGAGATGTTTATCTCAGTGATGTTTACCTCGGTGATGTTTACCTCGGTGATGTTTATCTCAGAGATGTTTACCTCGATGTTTTGTCAGCATAGTTGTTATCTGAGTATCACAGTACCATCCATATGTTTTACATAGTTGACCCCGAACCCTCTCAACAGTTTACGTTGGTGATGTTTATCTCGGATGTTTACCTCGGTGATGTTTATCTCAAATGTTTACCTCGGTGATGGTAATCTCGGATGTTTACCTCGGTGATGTTTATCAGACGACGATAGAATAGTTTATTTACATTCTCTTTTCATGTGGGTTTTCTAAAATCTCATTCATGTATGTGTAAATATACCTATAATATATATATATATATACATTATATATATATATATATATATATATATATATATATATATATATATATATATAATATATATATATATATATATATATATATATATATAATATATATATATATATATTAAAATTCACACTTCATAACTTTCCATGTTACCTCAAGATACTCCAACCTCGACCACAAAGGATTCGAACCTACGCTGACTTCCAACCCAGCTTGTTAGACAGTCAACCTAAGCCCGAATCCTTCATTGCTAGGATGTGAAAATCCACGCATAAGTTGGATATGTGTGACGGTGTACACACCCTACACACTGTATACGTTACTCATTTAAACTGTGCAAACTGTCTATTTCTGTCGTAATACATTTATCACCAAAGGCTCACCTAGAAGGTAAATATGAAGAGGGTTTGATGTAACTGAAGAATCCTCGTAGGTAATGTTTCCCCGGAGATCAAAAAAGAAAACTTGTTTCATCTGAATGTTTAACGTCACTGGTAATACAGATTTGGGATTTATTATAGTTTGTGTTGCTTAGGCTAAAAATCACTGGACAAACACTAAAATTCTGAAAAAGCACTGGAATTCAGCATTTTTTCTGGGCGGTTACAATGATAGGAACTATGTTATAAGAGTTCACCAAACGCGTACATGCACTTAATCAAAGTTTGTGTAAGTCACACACTACTCAGGAACTTGACGGGTGAGAGTCATCCGGTTTCTAATCGTGAAGGGTGAGAGCGGGATCCCCCACGACGACGTTTCGCTTCGGCGATTCTCCCAAGTACACGACGTTTAATTGTAGGTGTCCACGAGTCGTGTACAAGTCGTGGTGGCTTCCTCCTCACCCCTTTCTCTCTCCCTGCTGGGAAGCCAGGTCGTGGGACAGGTGCTGGACAACCACAAGCCTAAGTGCACAACATTTGGTGACTCTTAACACTGCTACCCTGGGGACTTCACGCCGCCAGGGTTATACTGCTCGTCTCGTACTCCAGCAAGTCCATCTCGCGGTCGTGCACGTCGATGTTAAGTACCTCCTGCAGCTCGCTAATGTATTGGATCACACTCTCGATCACTTCCAAACGGTTGAGTTTCTTGTCGAGGGATTTTCTGCTTCTGGCGGTAGGCAACAGGTGCCTGAGCTTGTCCAGGTAGAGGGCCACCTCGAAGTCCTCCTCCCGGCCCTTGGACACCTTGCCGCTCCTGATGGTAGGAAGGCTTGAGACTTGAGAATCACACACTTGGGCCTTCATAGTGGAGTTGTGCAGTCTTTCACTTTACTTTTAGTCACTAGACACGTCTTGCCCTCACCGCAGTCTGGTAAGTAGTGGTGAGCTGAAATCACAGTGCTCGGGTTTGTACTTCTTCCCACTGACGATATCCAAGGATATGCGCCAGCCAATGAGAACTAGAATTTTAAAACTCGTAGCCAATGAGAAATTAGAGAGGATTCGCGTGAGCCAATGGGAGGATACGGTGGGAGGAGTTTGGCAGCCAAGCACTGTGGTGGCCCTGGAATGTGGAACTTGTTACTGCCCTGGGGAGCATGTTATAGTAATTATATTATTCAAAAATCCATCCAATAAAAACAAGTTAAGATTCACCAGTGCTTTAATGACATTTACCTGATTTTAAGAGTAAACAAATGCGAAGTTATGCGTCCAAAACTAACGATAAAAAGAACCATAAGAAAATATCCCCAGTTAACATCTCTCCAACACGTGCACTACGACGTAACCGCTGCCAGACGTAGGAAAACATCGCCAGGGAATAATTACTAAATTCCTTTTAAGTCATGGATATTATGTTCTTTCTTGGGTAATGTATGCCAGAACAAAATTCATAGCACCGAGACATCTCGGGTAACTTGTGGCGGAGGATGGCAGGGCGGAGGTGAGGGACAAGTGTTTGTTTACCTAATACGGGGATACCTCAGGGACATAACCTGGGGCCCTGGCTGGTCTCAGGTGCGCCCGTCTGCTTCAGGTAAGTTACCGCCAGGACTGCTGCTGCTGCTGCTGGCCCAGCCTCGCACACACCCACGCCAGCTACACCTGTTCAACATACCTCACCACCGCCCTCGGCTCCTGGTCAGGTGTTTTATCAGGTGTTCCACCTCGCCGTCATTATTCTCTGCGTCAGGTGTTCATCTTGGTCATGCGTTGTTCTCCAGGTGTTCGTCTTCGTCAAGCGTCTCTAGCAGAAGGATATTAACCATGACAAATTATCGAACTCAAAATATACATAGCAAAAATCTGAGTTAGATTCATTGTTCTGTATTTTATTCTCAAGTTCCCTTCACCGAGGTGAATTTGTACTGGTGAAGGGCTTACCTGGAGTCTACCTGGAGTCTACCTGGAGGGTATTCCGGAGATCAACGCCCCCGCGGCCCAGTCCATAACCAAGCCTCCTGGTGGATCAGGGCCTGATCAACGAGGCTGTTACTACCGGGCGCACGTGGTCCAACGTACGAACCACAGCCCGGCTGATCCGGCTTTTGATGAGAACTAGAACTACTCTCAGCTCAAAGCATGATTGATCTCACAGGAGCCTCATGACCCTTATAGTCATGCAGCTCCTGTGGGATGAATTTAGCTCTTCTCTATGATAACAATAAGTATTGTTAAGTTAGAGCTCGCTTACAGAACGCAGATACAGAGTTTGAGTCTAGTTGAAAGTTAAATTATATTATATGAATGATAATGGAGGCTTGATATTGTGTTTAGAAGTCAACGTAATTCTTAGCCCAAAGGTTATATTGCTTGAGGAGGTAAACCCATGTGGGTCATTCAGCACAAGGATTAGTGGAGGCTCCATCCTCCGTCCGCTAATCATGATGCTGACATGCTACTCTCGAAGCCACTGTAAGTGAAGCACAGTACCACGAGAGTGACGTCAAGCACAGTACCGTAAAAGTGACGTCAAACACAGTACTACAAGAGTGACGTCAAGCATAGTACCGCAAGAGTGACGTCAAGCACAGTACCGCAAGAGTGACGTCAAGCACAGTACCGCAAGAGTGACGTCAAGCACAATACCGCAAAAGTGACGTCAAGCATGGTACCAGGATTCAGCGACTTCGTACATCTACGCCTTTGTACCCCCCTCAAGGGAGGTTCCTTGACGTTGGTGAGGGGCTCTTGATGTAGGGAATTGGATCTGTGCTCCGGTTCCCTGAATCGAACCTGGATACCTTCCATCTCCCCACATGCGCTGTATAATCCTACGGGTTTAGCGCTCCCCATGATTATAATTAATTATAAATTACGCCTTTATAAATTTCATACATATTTTTCCTAAATTTTATTCTGCCCAAGTTGAATAAATTGTTGCGAGTTTTGCCTTGTAAAACATATGGTTGACCTCGACCACTGGCACACTAGTCACGCCTTAGCAAGTTCCTCCATTTAAGGATACAAGAATGCTTTTTATTGATATATTTTTCCTTACACTTGTATCTTTGATGTACCTTTGATTGGTTTCGAGAATTTTCGCCCGCAGCCTGGGCCCTGAGCCAAGCTTGTCTGGTGCTTGCGCGATCAACCAGGCTGTTGCTGCTGGTGTCCTTGATGGCCCACATCCATCATAGCCTGGTTCATCCAGTACTTGGTGGAAGGTACTCTTATATCCAATAATTTATTACTTCATGTGAGGTGCCTTGACACTGTGGAAAGGCTGTCGGAAAGAGAAATTCGAGTTAGATTCCTCTTTCTCAGATCAGACCTCATTGCCCACCATTTCTCTGGGTGGAGCAAACTGCCGACTGCTTCACTGCTGGTAATATAATTATTTTTATTATTGCTCAGAGGGAAGCGCTAAACCCATGAGGTTCATAAAGTACCTGGTGGAAATGGGAGGCAGTCGGGTTCGATTCTTAGAAGGGGAAGAGAAGATCTAATTCCTCAGCTCAAGAACTGTTCACCAGTACAAATGCACAGCTCCCCCATCAGTAGAAGGCATTCATGTGAAAATTTCCGGGGTGGAATTTAAACCCGGATTTTTTTTTTTTGTTCCTTCACACCTTCACGCGAACAATATTCAAGAATTTTTGTCAAGTGTACCAGAACCGTCGAATTACTTGACTGATATTGACATACCAGAGTTTTTTCAGTGTTACCAAAACGTGTGGGATATGCCTCCAGGTAACCAGGTGTAAGACATGTTTTCCTCAGGTGATAGTAATTCCAGCCATAGTGGAACGAAACCTTTGAAATATTCGTAGTTTCTGAACTCCACAGAAGAATAGTTGACAGTATATTAATCGCTCTACGGAGTCTCACAACCTGAGCCGGAAAATTCTGAGACGGGCTGAGGATCTCATCCTCTCTTTGCTGGAAGACAGGGTGAGTTTAATAAGAGTTTCTTCCTACGTAAGAAACTTAAAACAAGGGATGCCAGGCCAGTGATGATCATCTTCAAGCCATTTATTTTCTTTAGGCAGGACTGTTGCTGTACACTAACAGTCCATTTTATGGCAGGTGAAACTGCAGTTTAAGATAATGTTCAGAGAACGGTGGTCTGGTGGCTAAAGCTCCCGCTTCACACACGGAGGGCCCGGGTTCGATTCCCGGCGGGTGGAAACATTTGACACGTTTCCTTACACCTGTTGTCCTGTTCACCTAGCAGCAAATAGGTACCTGGGTGTTAGTCGACTGGTGTGGGTCGCATCCTGGGGGACAAGATTAAGGACCCCAATGGAAATAAGTTAGACAGTCCTCAATGACGCACTGACTTTCTTGGGTTATCCTGGGTGGCTAACCCTCCGGGGTTAAAAATCCGAACGAAATCTTATCTTATCTTATCTTAACCTTCACTGCACGTGTAAGTTCATCCAAGCACCTTAATTACTGGGAAGCTTTGAAATCCCTTAACCTGTACTTCTTGCTTCTTGCTTCTTGCTTCTTGCAGGCAAGAAAGATATGTCATAATTTTCACCTTAATAAACCTAGATAGACTGGTCCAAATTCTGAACATACAAATCACTCCCAAGGAAAATAAAAGGCTCTGCAGACGCTGTAGGGGTGTCGTGAGTATATTGAGAGACAACCGAATAAGTGTAAGGTTACCAAGACTGTTCAGAAGTCTCCCTTCGTACATAAGGGGATTACCAAAAGCCTCTACCTATATTCAAGAGGGAACTGGATAGATTCGTAAATTTCCTGACCAGCCGGGCTGTGGTCGGTACGTTGGACTGCGTGCAGCCAGCAGTAACAGTCTGGTTGATTAGGCCCTGAGCCACCGGCAGGCCTGGCCATGGACCGGGCCGCGGGGGCGCTGACCATGGGAACACCCTCCAGACAGACTCCAGGGAAGCTTGCCTGGGTGTTTACATGACCAACCAGACTTGCTGCTGGCGGCCCCAACAAGTGGGAAGATCTATTATTTAGTTTCTGTGAAGCGCTAAACCCTGCGTGGTTTATTCAGCGCACGGAGTGGTGGAAGCTCGATCCTCCGAACAGCGCTCCGATCTCTGATTGATCAGTCCTGATGGTGAGGGAAATGAAGAGGCGCTAATAAAACACAGGTGAGTCCAGGGGGTAAATAACACAGGTGAAATATTCTTCAAGATCCTCCACTGAAGGGAAAAAAAGAAGTTTTGGGTGAGAGGGAGGGAGGAATGGGGGTATGGGGGGTGGTTGATGGTTGTGATAGGTTGGGGTTAGTGGTGGGGAATGGTGAAGGAGGAGGAGATGGGGTGGCCGGGAGGGGGTCAGAGGTGGTTCTGGTGGAGTGGCCGCAGTCTTACAACAGGTGGTAACCGCCCAGCACTCCCCCCCTCCTCCCCTCTCCTTCCCTCCCCCCCCCCTCTCTCTCTCTCTCTCTCTCCTCTCTCTCTCTCTCTCTCTCTCTCTCTCTCTCTCTCTCTCTTCTCTCTCTCTCTCTCTCTCTCTCTCCTCTCTCTCTCCTCTCTCTCTCTCTCTCTCTCTCTCTCTCTCTCATATCCCTCCATACCCCATGCCTCCATCTCATTCACCGTTGTTCCCGCTTTCTCTCTCTCTCTCTTTCTTCCATCTCCCTCGCTCTCCTTGCAAACTCGCTTCCCTTTCTCCATCCCACTCCCACCTCCGTCCCTCTCTTCCATTCACTCCTCTTCACCTCCTTTTCTGCTTCCCTCCCACCTCACCTTTCCTCCCTGTTTTCACCTCTCTCACCTTCCATCCATCTCCTCTCACCTTCGTCTCTTCATCCATCCTAACTTCTTCATGCACTCTCTTCGATTTCTCGATGATTCTTTAGTAAGTTTGTTTAAGCATGAGTACAAATGTCATACATAGTGTCAGTTATCTAGGGTAACCCAAAATAAAAGGTCAGACAAAGTGATTTATTTCCATTCGGGTTTCTCTCTCTCTCTCTCTCTCTCTCTCTCTCTCTCTCTCTCTCTCTCTC